TATCCTTTGATATTTTTGGATATTTTGAAGAATAATGTCATTTTTCGATGTTTCTTTTTTTAAATGTCAATTTTGACAGGTTAAGGAAATCACGTGACCTATTTTGTAGACGCCATTTGACATCATTTCTTTAGCAAAATCTACTGCCAAAATCAAATTTCACATAAAACGATAAATAAAAAAGTTTCCCATTTGATGCGGACTTTATCGGTGACACTGTATAAACTAGGATCGCATAAGCTCAAGTCGATCACTGAGTGATTTCCTGTTGATAGGTCGAGTCGATTTATGTCGCCTGTATTAAGTAGCATGAGGGATCTGCTGTAGGATATCTACTAATTGATTCAAATGAATATCTTGATGTGGTGGGATATAAATATTGCATATATTAATCTTCTTGTTTATTGCAGGTGATACAGCTACTGCTTCGTAATTAGTTGTTAAAGGAATCTCCTCCGCTTCAATAGAGTTTTTGACATAGATGGATATGCCACCACTAGCTCTTTGTTAGATTTGATAAATCGTCCTAGTACATTTCTTGGGAACATTCGCTGTCCTGATCTGATAATGACATGACTGAATCAGTTTCTACTTCGTGATTCAATTGTTTGAGGATTTTTTTCTCGATTCTTGTTATTCTAGCTTCAATGCTTCTTCCTGTTAGTGTTGGGTAGATTTTAGCAAGCAAACCAAGGAGTCCGTGAACATTGTCAGTGTAGTTTCGAGCTATATTTAGTGAATCTGAATTTCCAAATGAGTTTTCTAAAAAATCGGTTAGTTGATTAAAATTTAAAGGAAAAGGAGGATCTTCTTGTTCAATCATCAGTTTGGCGGGTTGAATCAGAGACTGCATATCGGATAAATTTTCTGTATTAGCTTCCTTGGTTTTTTTGGATTAGGCACGATTTGTTTAGTAAAATTGTTTACTATAGGTTCCTCTGTCCTATTATTTCCTATATCATGACTGGATATTTCAGATATACTTCGTTTTTGGGAAGGTGTAGGTATGTTCAGATCCAGAAGTGATACTTCTTCAGGAAGTACTTGGAAGGTATTTGTTCAGAGAGGTTCAAATTCGGGCTATTAGAGTCTGAGGCTTCATTTACGATTTCTGGGCAAATGGAAGCGATATGACCGTGTTTTTTACACCTGATGCAATTGAGATTGTCATCGGTACAATGGCTTCANAAAAATACAGTTTACAGTACCTACAGTTTAAGAATATTAATATATTTATTTATTTAAAGTAACTAATGTTTTAATCATATACTCTACGACACTGGTCACTCATTTCCACTCAAAATACCTACATAATCGGATTAAAAGTTTTATAGCTGTATTGTATTTCTTCAGATACAAGGTGGGTTAGTCGAAAACATCTTAAACTGCCAGTTTTAGTTTGGTTTTTGTTATTATATCATATTAGCTGTCCTCTCTGTATTTCAGTTCTCTAATGAGGGTCAAACTTGCAGTGAGCTATCAACAAATTATGAACGGACTATAGGCGAATAGAAGGCGATATTAATCTTCTGGCCGTGATGAGTTCTCCGTTGATAGAAATGGGGCCGGTATTTTTCACGAAATTTTCAACAATTTCTTTTCTGGAGAGGTATATGCATATACGGTTATTTGAAATTCTCGAGGAGAAAATTATGTCTTTAGGTTGTACTTTTGTGCCTAGTGCTAGAATATATTCTTAAAGTTTAATTCCTATGACTGGAAAAAGTATAGCTTATTCTTTCGAAGGGAATTTGAAGTTATTCACTACTTTAGAGTATGTTGTATGTGGTTGATTAGTTCCTATTGATGAGTTTTGAGGGTCCCTATAGTTAAAAACCGCTCTGGCATTGGTTTTGGATGTATCAGTCATTTTGTTTCACGGCGGTTGATCTGCTAATAATTTCATATCCGGAATACTGAGTGCGGTCCTGCTGTTTGTTTATCACCGGCGATGGTTAGCCGACTCCAAATAATTAGTTGACTCAGATCAATAAATTAGTAGCAGTGGGATGTAAACTCACCAATCACTAAATGACTAACGTTATTAGTTAATGAACTTGACTTGATTCACTATTGATTCTAATTATATTCGAAGTAAAATCACAAAATTGTCACTACACTCAGATAACTGTATCACAACTAAGAAGATCAGGGACGAACTCAATTACTATGAACTGTTTTTTAAAAACTCATCCCTTTCTACTTCCTGACCTCAGCTCGCCCATACATTATTTTTTCTTTAATTTTTGTCATATTTCCTACTGAATATTACTAAAGTTTTTTCCCAACACCAAATCGTTATTTTTATCAACTCGACACGTGCTTCGATCACCAAGTGATCATATTCAATAGGAAGATTAAACAGTTCAATCTTCCTCTTGAAGATGTCACATCTTCCAATAACCCAGGTAAGTCTTCTTCGAGAAAGTGTAAATAAGAACGACCATCAAGGCGTCCTGGTAGAAAAAATGGGCCTATTAGATGATCACCTATAATTCCTGCCCATACATTAACCGAAAATTGGTGTTGGAAATGGGTTTCGGTTATTGCATGGGGATTTTCTTCCCTCGTTTGGGAATGCGCGTGAATCGCAGGACCTCTGAGGGACACAAGCTTTGATTGGGTATTATGCAGATGTGGTTTGGTCTCCTTTAACAACGAGGTTTTGGTAGCACAGGTAGGGTTCAAGAATCCTAATAACAAATTAGAACATACCTACCGACTACACTTTGGCAAAAATGCCTTTATTATAACCTCATCAAAGGCTTTTTGTATATCCACCAATCGTGTTCTTATATTAGACTGTGTTACTGATTGGCACGCTTCATGCCCAAAATTTTCAAAGAAATTGCAGGGTATAAGCCAACTGATTTGCCTCAGCAGCTTCTCTATAACAATTTTCTTCGCTTTCTAAATATTTTCTTCAGTTATTGATGTGCTGGAACGTCCATTCACATCTTCTCGACCTTCTGTGAAAATCCTGTACCACTTGTGAACATTTTTCTGACTCAGAGTACAATCACCGTATGTCACTGTCAACATTTTCACTGTTTATGAGCAGTCAATTTGATTTTACACACAAAATTTGATACAAACTCTTTGATCCATTTTTATTGACAGCAGAAAATGGCCGAACATGCAAAACACTTCTAACTTTTTTGCCTCTCACCAACAAACTGAACATGCTGAACATGCTAAACAGCTAAAACTTTGAAAATGTGTTCGAGACTAGTGTTCCAACATGAATAAAATAAAAAGTCGCTGGTCGAAAGTACGTAGCACACGAAATTAGCTCATTTTTTATACAGTTCACTACATGGCGGAATGAATACTTGGTTCTCCTGTTGAATTGCAATTTAAATTTTCCTCCTCATTATCCTCACTTCACTAATAACGGTCTATTGAAAAGAATGAAGTGGAAAATATTTCAGACCTCTTCCTGGAGTGCACTGGTCTCCAATTACTGTGAGAGGAATGGTATGTGCCATAGTGCCAACTTAACCCATTAAGGACGGAATTAATTTATTTTAAAATTTTGCAAAAGTATATTTCCAAATTGCATTTTCAGAACAAAACAAATAGATTTGTCCAGAAAAATATAGTGAAATTTTTCTTACTTTCTTCAAAAATTAGTGTTGCCATATGGCAACGCCAGTAACTTACACTGCTATGTTTCATAAAAAAAAATATTTTTATCGATTGAAAAAAAACTACATTCGTGTATGGTATTCAACATTTGATGCATTTTGTGCGCATAATTGATTTGCAATTGTCGCCATTGCATCTAATTTTTTTTTCTACTGCCCTATATTATCATATCGCACATCATCACCAACACGACTGTACGATCTGCTCGATTTACTTGCAGATGGTCTACCTTTTCCTTTCGGTGGATTCTTGTACTTGTTGATGTATGTTGTGACAATTTCTTGACGAAAGTGTAGTTGAGTTATTTTGTTGCCAGACTGTTTGTACAGGACCCAGGCATTTTGAATTGCGGCATCAAGTAGCCATGTGAAAAAACACCACCACCATTTTTTTTCACGTAGACTTATCCTCCAGCGTGCAATATTTTCATCCATCAGATCCGTGCCACCCATGGATGCATTATATTTGGAAATCAAGCTCGGTCTTGTTACTTGAACAATTTTTTCTCCTTCGCTGAATATCGTCTTGAACTAGCAAGTGGGGCTACCCCATATTTGGTCGAAGCTGCTGAAACTACATTATTGTCAGTCCAACGCGTTAGTAACATTCCGTTAGTTCTATCCAAACAAGAATCGAAGTCACTACATTCTTTCTTACTCATATCCTTTTTGGATACTAACGGGCAATTTTTAGGGATTCGGTTGTCGGGAATGGTTCCTGTGGATGAGAAACCTCTTGATTTCAGATGACTAAGAAGGTGCAAGTTTGTAAATAAATTGTCTGTGAATAGGTTGTATCGCTGTTTTTTCTTCTATTCTGGTAACTCATCCCGTAGCATCAGCGAAGGAGTAGTAGTTTTTCCAAACACAGTTTGGTATCCTTCGTTCAGGCGCCTATCTTTGCCTTGATATGAGGAGAAATTCACAAGATATCCATATTTGCTGATCAATGACCATATCTTGTATCCAAATCTGATTGGTTTACCTCGGATGAATTGCTTCCATGAGTGCTTTCCAAAGTATTTGACCATACACTCATCGTAATTTAAATCTTCTTCTGGAATGAAAAAAATTCAGAAATTTTTGCCGCAGTAAATCACTTAGAGGTCGCAGCTTATAGAATTTGTCATTTGGATCTAGTGCATTATTATCTGCGCAGTGTAGATACCGCCAAATTGTTAAAAATCGGTCTTTTCTCATTGCATCCATCACTAGTTGGTTACCAAGATCGCCATCAGTATGCCAGTAATTTTTTTTCCAGGTAATTGACAACATCCCGATAAAATCAGAATAGCTATTGAACATTTCATTTCATCCAAAGTAATTTGAGGAGATGACGAGTTTTCAAATTGCGCGTACTTGTTCGATTCTTCTACCAGTAAAGAAAGTACGTCATGGTCTATGAAAAACTCGAACATTTCTGTAAGGGTTAAAGTTTCAAAAAATTCATAATCTGAACGACAATAATTTTTTGAACTTTCTACCACATCGCCTTTGATCCATATTATTGAAACCTCGTTATTCAAATTATCTGAAAGAATAATTCATTCAGGCCAGTATCAACTCACCTACGCTGTAGGCTGATGGACTGACACCTGTCAGAAAATACTTTCCTGGCTCATAGCCCGAAAGGCGTTAGATTATATTCGACAAGTGTTAGAGCAGGATTCTCCACAGGTGTCATTTCTGCACATGCTGTTGGCGACACAACTGTCAAAATCGATTTACAATGATTAGAACACGCTTACCGACCGGTTTCTTCAATGTAGCTACCTGAGAGGCAGCTACAAGTTGTTCACTAGCTGCGAAAATGTTTCACTATCCAACAACGAACAACTTTTTATTCAAACCAAATCAACTCTACTATACAGAATGGTCCAACGAAAAGTATGCACCTTGATTTTCTCCTTTTTTTGTTACTTAACGCAAAAATGCTCGGACAGGTCACTTTTGCTTTTGAGGGGAACACATTTCAGATGTATTTTTCTACCTGAGCCTTCAACCCCTTAGCGAGGGTGAGTTACAACCCTAAAATTTTAAATAGAAAATGGGGTCGGGTGATATATCATTTGAAAGGGCACAAAATTATCTTTCCAATGATACTTAATTTGTTGTATTTCACTGAAACATGTAGGTATTATGGAGAAAAACAACTACAACCCAGTACTTTGAAATGTATAATTGACTTAGTAGAATCCTACTTCAGCAAGTGCTGAAAATGTGACCCATTTGCTTCCATACAATAATACAGATTTTGTTCAAATCTATTCCTAACATTCTGTAGCATATCAGGTGTTATACTTCTGCACTCTGCTGTAATTCGTTGGACTCGGGCTGCGTAGACCAAGTGTCCCCAAAGGAAAAAGTCTAAAGGCGATAAATCAGGTGACCTGGCAGGCCATTCGCTGGGGCCTCTCCTTCCAATCTACCGTCCAGGAAACCGGAGCAACATAGTGAGGAGATGCTCCATCTTGCTGGAAATGAAGCCGATCATTATTATGATTTTGGTCATTTTCAATTATTTCTGCAATGAAAGAAGCAATTGTATCTTCAAGCATGTTCAGGTAGACCTCACCAGTTAAATTCCCAGGAATAAAAAGTGGCCCTTTTAAACTCAAGATACTGTTGAAAAATATTGCTCCATTTTATCAGAGTCAATTAGGGTTAACGGAGGTAACTTCAATAGAAGAACTTAGGAAAATATGTCAGGATCTCGAGTCAAAAAAATTGTCAATCGAGTCTTATGTTCCTCCCCCTCATGACCGAAAATTTCTTTTGGAACCTGATCTCGCCTACGCCTTATTTTTTTTTTGTTTTCATTCGTTTGAGTTACTTTTAGTTTGAAAAGATTGAACACGCGTTACACACCGAAAGGACTCGTGTTGCCACATGGCAACATCGAGTTCCAAAGCTTTACGATTCTGAAAAATTTTGCAAACTCTCGTAATTTCAGCCGCCATTACGTTGATAATATATTCCTTAAGCTAATGAATTTATTTTCGAAAACTGTAACAATCCCTTTGTATTTATACTTACGTAAACTTGGTATCCATTTTTGAGAAGTCTTCTTGATATTCCCTAACGAAATCGTGTTTTTATAACACTGGAGTGGACAGACAAACACAACATACGGTTCTTTCAACTGACACTGCAACAAACTATTGGCGTGAATACCGCCATCTATGTTTTTAATGAAAAATCTATAGAAATTTGAGCAACAGAAAACTGTTCATTTCTGTTGCCGTATGGCAACACCAGTCCTTGATGGGTTGAATTTCGTTGCTTCTATTATTTTCGGAATTGTTCATTATCGGCAGAAAGCATTCATCTTAATGGAACCTGGCAGTAAAAGCCGAGCCTGATTTGTGAAATTTTCTTTTTTAGGGGCTTCAAGCGGGATGGGGAACTGATTACAATTTCACTTGTCAACCTGTAGTACCTGGGGAAAAAGGCATGCGCGTAAGTATATTTTATCATATTCTAGACATGTTGGTACATTGCTGCAGTAACTAAGCGAAATGAATAGTACATTTTCAACTTATTTCATCACATTGTAACGCTCTTATTTGAACAGAGTTCACTTGGAACTGAACAAAGCAATCTGTTGAAAACATCTTTCCTGTTGAAAGATGTTTTCAACAGTTGAAAACATCTTATTATGATAAAATTGCACTACTATGTTAGTATTTTCATATTCTAGTGGCCTAACTACTCTATTATTGATCCTATGCTAAACTACCTGTTTCTGATACTTCTAGCTCATTATGTATTTCCTCTATGTTCGTGATTCTTTAATATTTATCGGTTTTTTATTTAGAATTAATATGTAAAAGACCAAGCGAGGAAATGTTGCAAATGGGAGCTGTTTCGCTATTCATAGAACTCATTCCACATTTTTTGATTGGCCGAGCTTTCGAAGGCATCCAGAAATCTGTTGTCATGCACCGGCCTCAACAATTTTAAAAATTGTTCAGTTATTCTATGATCGTTCTCTATGGCATGTTAAGCGACACTAGATTTCTTTGGTCTATGGAACCGAACATGCGAAACATGTTCCTTGTAGCGAGCTAATATAGTCCGTTAAGTTTGACCAACATAATTCTTATCACAATCCTCGCAGTAAATCCAAGACTTTCTGTTTCCGAAGTCTTGTCTCTCGGACTGCCCAACACTTGTTGAAGTGTACGTGCAGTTTTGAAAGCCACTATTACATTGAATTTTTTGAATGTTCGGACCAACCCATTGGTTTATTTGGGGAAGTGCTTTCAATAGATTCATTTTACGCCAGAGGTTCCAGTACGAACTATCAAGTGAACAAAGCATGACTTTGGGGTCAAGTAGATTATGACGCTGTTGTGAAACGGTAGCATTTTATTTCAACCTCGTTATTGAAACCTCGTTATTCAAATTATCTGAAAGAATAATTCATTCAGGCCAGTATCAACTCACCTACGCTGTAGGCTGATGGACTGACACCTGTTTTTCAAAAGCAACCGAACTGAATCAATGAACGTTTGCCTAATTTCTTTTTGTACACTTATCTGCTGTTGTTATTTGAACCAAAAAACGCACGAGAGAAATTGAGGAATGTAGTAGTGATAAAAATGCCGTTTTTCCGCATTTTCATTAACACCAAAAATATCGAGTAAATGTTCTTGCTTTTTTTATAACTATTCAAGTAAATACAACAAATTAGGTATCATTGGAAAGAGAAAGTTGTGCCTTTTCAAATGATATATCACTCGACCCCACTTTCCATTTAAAATTTTAGGGTTGTTACTCACCCTCGCTAGGGGATTGAATGCACAGGTAGAAAAATACATCTAAAATGTATCTCCCTCAAAAGCAAAATTGACCTGTCCGAGCATTTTTGCGTACAGTTACAAAAAAAGGAGAAAAGCAAGGTGCATACTTTTCGTTGGACCACTCGATATGGTCTCTGACAGATTATATGGACGAAGAGGGGATTGAAATGAGCTGAGGGGTGCTGACAGTAAGCAGAAAACACACGACTGATGAAGCAAGCGGGCATTAGAAGATGGTTGGAACAGGGTATGTTTGGGGGCGGAGTTCCCAAACATACATGAGAACAATGTAGAAGGTCTGACCTAAACTCCATAAAGCATCAAAAGTTGCTGAGGTGTGTACAGTTTTCTGGTTTGGAATAGTGCTCCAAGCTTTTGAAAAGTAGCCTTTGCAATTCCGGTGATTGTGCCAGAACATATTAGTGTCCATTTTAACCCCTAACAAACTTACTGAAGCAGAAAGCGAAATTATCTGACCCGACATTATTATATCCGATTCGGAGACATTCATCTTTCTGGAGAAAACCGATGCCTAGGTTTTTGTGACATTGAATTGAACCTGGTAACTTTAACCTCAATTTGAAATCACTTCTAGATCCACATTAAGTTAAGCAACATCATGCAGCCGATGACCTGGAATCCAAATGGAATGTCGAGACAAGAGTGCTGTCCTCAGAAAAGCAAATATTAGATTCTTGGTTCTTTCTAATAAGTCGTTGATATACAGTAAAAAGAGGGTTGGAAACAATATGGGGACAGTATTATTTGACGAAAAAGAGATAGCCCAAATGGCGAATACCACAAAGGGCCCGAAACGCGAAGAGAAGCTTCGGACAGACGGTTCAAGTGGCGAATACCACAAAGAACCGGAAACGTGAAGAGCAGTTTCGAACAGATAATCCAAGTGGCGAATACCACCAAAAGATGGAAAAAAGTAAGAGAAGACCAGTGAAGAAATGTTGGTCCAGATGGCAAATACCACCGAGGACCCGAAACGCTCAGAGAAGCTTCGGATAGGGCTTCCAAGAGACGAATACCACAAATGATTGAAAATCGTAAGAGGAGTCGCTTAAAGACATTAGGCGCAAATTGAGCTGACCTGCACGAGCCGCATGATTCGAAGAAATAATCATATTGCTATGTCCGACTAAGTTGAAAAGTTATTGCTTTCATTGAGTTCGGAATCAGAATTCGACAATGTTGCTGAAGGTGAATTTTCGCTAGTCGCGCCACCTCGCGTCCCGGCGGCATCTTGCGATCTTCTATTGGTTTTCATGAATTACAAAAGATCGCGCTGTGCTGTGTCACCCCACACCCTTCCAATTTGCCTATCTAAGCTACGGGGTACTCCAAAACGTTATCATGCACAGTGCACGTGATCTCCCAGACAAGGCGGCTTGTACAGAGTCGCACTGAGGTTATAGGCTGGATATAGAAACATTTTCTAGGTAAAGTGTAAGGACACAAATTAGCAATTTCTTCAGCTGTATCAGTACTCGACTTTTCAAAAATTTCAAACTTAAAAATACCGTATATGTACAAATCACAGGCTTTAAAACGTAACTGACCACTCCGGCACTCTACAATGAATTCCGCCTGCCGATTGCAGTCGAATCTGATTGGTCAGCATAAGCATGACCACCATGCAAATGTGCATGGTGGTCATGCTTTGATCACGCTTCTATCTTTGTTTCGTTTGCTTTTTTAGTTGAATGGATATAGTTCCGCTTATTCCTTTGCTGTCTGTCATATTTTATCTAATCGCCCCGTATCACATACGAAATTGTTGTTTCGAGAGGGTTTTTTCTTTCAGGTTTCATTCGATAGAAACTTCTTTCTATAATCTACACATAATAACACTGCTGATTTTCAAACAAGACTCAACCTCTAACGGAAGGTTCGGAATAGATGAACATTTCAACCTAGCAGACCACTATTATAATATTCATGCAGTCATTGTTCAATGTGGTTCTGGCGTTGAATTTGGTCATTACTACGCCTTGGTCAAACACGAAACGGACTGGTTTAAGTTTGACGATAGTCGTGTCCCGAAGTGTTCTGGCGATGCATTGAATTTATTGGAGCCTCTGGAGACACCCTACATTTAAAAATTTTTGAAATTTCAGTTGAATTCAAAATCTTGTTACAGATGGCAACAGGCGTCTGGTTTTATTTCATCTGCAAACTGACAGAGCTTCTAGATACGGTAAGAAAAGTTCATATAGGAATAAGAATGTTACCTGATTGAAAATTTTCCAACTCTTAGGTTTTCTTTATTCTGAGGAAGAAAATGAATCAAGTAACTTATTTGCATGTCTACCACCACACGCTTATGCCCGTTTGCGCATGGATTGGAGTAACGTTTTTACCAGGTAATGACTTTTATCATTTCGAGTAGAGGACTATGTGAAACAATATCGTATATTTCCATTCTAGATAAGATTAGGTTTATAATTTGAAATATATTAACTCATGAAAAATGATAAATGAAAGCACAAGATGGATGTGTCATCAGCATAAATGGCACATGTTTGAGGTAATAATGCATAGAAGAGATCGTTTGTATAAACTATGAAAAGAAGAGGCCCCAGCACGAACCCTTGAGAAACTTGAGTCAATCGACTGTAGATCAGATATCCTTTTATGGCCTAGATCAACAAGCTGTTTTCTATTCATCAAACACAATAGAAAAAATGAAAGTATGACTCCATATTCTTTCAATTTATGTAACAAATCAATATGAGAAACACAGTCAAATGCTTTACTCAAGTCAGAAAGTGTCGCAGCACTGTGATGACCCTTTTCAAAGCCATCGACTATATTTCTCACAACCCTGAAGGGGTCTGATAAATTGGTTAAGGCTTTCAAAGCCAAGATTGTCAGTGTTACTATCTTCATTCGGGTTTGGAGGCCATCGTAGTTTGGAACCGCATCCTAACGTTTCGCCAAAGGAGTGGCTTCTTCAGAGATTTATTCATCTTGATGATTCACCGATTAATGGTGATTTCTAGTTCGTAGATCGTATTTATGTTGACTCAGGGGTCTCTCTGAAGGGAAACATATTGTAGGCTAGTTTCGATTGAATTACACCAACCCTTTAGCGGGGTTTAACACAATTCATGAAATCTTGAATGGAAAGGGACGCTCTACCTCATTTCAAAAGTTGTATAACTACCTCTTCGAAAATACTAAATACTTGGTCTTCTTTATTAGCAGTTCTCAAGAAATCTAGTGAAAACTGTTTAGGTATCAAGACACTTCGTAATATTATTTCAATCGAAATGAAATAAACTGAAACCATATTATATACCTACTGGTGGATATTCTCAGTATATCTATTTCTAATGTCCAAAGAAGCATAATTTACTACTGAGAATTATCATAAGATAAAATGTTACTTTTAAACTAGTATCAGTTGGGCTGAACATTTCGTAAGCTAATTCACAGATGGCGTTACTAATATTGAATCCATATGATGTTTAGTCAACTGTAACTCTCAAAAGACCTGTGTTCAGAGTGCGCCAAATTGGACACTTTCAAGGAGAAACTACTTTTTTCAAACTAGATAGATAGTAACTAAAATCAGAAAAGAAATTATAGAAGTGGTAACTTTAGTAAAGCGGAGCAAATGAGCAAAGAAAATGAAGTGTCTGCAAAAGGAACCGTGGCTAGTATTGCTTTCCTGACATCAGAACAGACAACTGAAAATGACGAGAAGAAATTATTATTATTTTTCATTGACTCAGGACCAGCAGATCATCTGATTAACGATGACAGGTTCTTTTTCGTTGCGATGGTACTAGAGAAACCAATTTCGATTGCAGTCGCGAAATCAGGACAATCATTATCATCAAGAAAAATTGGTCAAATCGAAGTGAAACAAGTAAATTCAGACATAACAATGAAAACTGTGCTTTTTGTTCCTGATTTGAGAATACATTTGTTATCTGTGAGGCGACTGGAAATGATGGGATTCAAAATTGTTTTTGAACGTGGAGAAGCAAAATTATACGCTGAAGATGGTTTAATTGCCAAAGGTAGTAGAAGTAATCATCTTTATGAAATAACTTTCCGTTTAAAACAAAGTTATATAGCTCACATGACGTATAGCTATGAGGAAGACCTGCGGCATCGCCGAATGGGTCACGTAAGTCAGTCCAATCTGAATCATCTTATTTCATGAGTTTGGACTTCCATTGTCTAATATAATATAAATTGATTTGAAACCCCTGATAAAAATAAAAGATCAACCGAAAATAACAACTTTATTATAACAAAAACTGAAATCACAAGGAAATAACATACAAGCTACAACCAGAAAATGAAAAATTGAAATAATAATAAAATTGGTTTCAGCGGGAGATGATCATTTGGTGGGAGTTGATTGTTTTTCGCTTGATAAGAGGTTTCCATATGTTACGTATCTCTACGCTAGCTTGACTAGGTTGCGTTGTTGGACAACATATACATGGCTTCCTTGAATTTTCTCCTAAACCAGTGTTCCTCTTTGTGGATGATTTCAGCTTGAGCCCAATTGATATTATGTTGATGAGTCCAAACATGCTCTGCTATTCCGGATTTGCTGGTTTCTGCTCGCTGTGTGTGTTTCTTGTGCTCAGCAATGCGAACTTTCTGACTCAGGCGATAACCATGGGAAGATTACTATCTTCTCCGGCCAGAAAAGTGAGAATCTCTGGAAGGGAGATTGACTAGCAAGCGCTGGTAAAGTACGTCGGCCTTTTAATAGACCGTAGGCTCACTTGGAACCCGCACATTATGTAAGTTAAATCTAAGGTCGAGGGTCGGATAGCCAGTCTGTACCCTCTGATCAATAGAAAGTCAAAAATGAGCTTAAAGAACAAAATTACGATCTACAACACGATGTTCAAGCCTGTCATCATGTACGCTTCAGGCGTCTGGGGACAAGCGGGTCCGTCCAACATTTCCATTTTGGAAAGGTTGCAAAATAAGTTAATTAGGATGATTTTGAATGCTCCTTGGTTCATGCGGAATGAAGCCATCTGCAGAGATTTGCAGCTGCCTTCCATTCGGCAGTCCATTCAGTCGAGGAATGAGAGAGTTTTCGAAAATACGGAAACTCACGAAAACCCGTTAGTTAGGGAAGCCACAGATTATGCTGTAGACGGCCCCTCCCGATATAGAAGGCCCCGACACTCTGTCGAATGAGGCCCTCATGTCCCCCGTTAAAGGATGAATAACTTTTTCATCCATCCCACTCCAGCCAGGTAGGGGTATCCCGTGAAGGGCGGCACTGGTGTCTAAGGACTTCATGCCGTCATCTATCAGCTGTGTACCCATTGGTCCCTCTCAAGGCCAATAATCAGCCAAAAGGGTAGGGGAGCTGGTCTCCAAACCTGGATGGAATCAGGATGACTCGTCAATGCGAACTTTCAATGGCCTCTTAATTTCACCGTTGTATGATTTTCCGAACTCGCAGGATATCCGGTAAATGTAATTCTTGGAATCGCAGTCCGTGTTTGGTGGCCTGGTTTTTGTGAGGCTGCTACGGATAGTGTTCCCAGATCTGAAGCAGGTCCTGATGTTATACTTGGACCCAATCCGTCTTATTCTTTCCGATAATCCTCTGATGTTGGAGAGTACAAGCACTGGTTGTGGCGGCTTTTCTTCCTTGTGGAGCTCTTGCTGTCTTCTAGCTGAAGACTGTTCTATTATCACTCTGGAGTAACCATTCCGTTGAAGGTCATTTTTGATGATGCCTATTTCTTTCTCGAGACCTTCCTCTGTATTACAGAGCTCGAAAATACGGTCTAGTAGAGTCTTGATGATTCCTCTCTTAGTCGATTGATGGTGGTTGGATTTCTGGTTCAGATACTGTCCTGTGTCAGTGGGTTTTCGATATACAGATGTTTCCCATTTACTGTCCCACCTTCAAACAAACGCTGAATAATCTTGTAAGATTCAAAATGGTGGAGGGAATTGCAAGGCCTTTGTTCAAATACCTGAAGAAAAAACAACAGAATTGGATGAAAGAAGTGACATATGTAGAATGATTGGTTATGCCAAAAATGGTTATCGCCTGCGGAATGAACATGAAAAGAAGATCAAGAGATGTGAATTTTAACGAGAGGCGTCCTCAAATCGAAAACCTAAATGTTGAACATCAGATAATAATGCATATTGATGGAATTAATAAATCATAAGAAAATTCAAATTGAACAATACCTGAAGAAACCATAGAAATAGTAAATGAAATTCCAGTAGAATCAGAGATAATAAACTCAGAAAAGGAAACGAGAAATCTCGAAAGTAGATTGTCAAATATTCAAAATGAAACGTCAATCATTGAAATGCCATCATTAGAAACTACATCTGAAGTAAATCATAAAAGAATTACAAAAAGGCCAGTCTGGTTAGATAACTTTGAAATCTACATTGCACTAAATACAGATTCAATAACAGAAAATGTACCAGAAAACTATAAAGATATTGATAATTTACCACAAGATGATGCCAACAAATGGAAAAATGCAGTGAGAGAAGAATTAGACTCCTTAATGGAAAATAATACCTAGACTTTGGTGGACTGTCCTGAAAAAGTGAAACCTATATCAAGCAAATGGGTGTTCAAGCAGAAGAAAAATGTAAATGTACACGTAGAGAGGTACAAAGCTAGACTGCTAGCAAGAAGTTTTCAGCAGAAAGAAAACATTGAATAAGAAGAAAAGGCTCCGGTAACTATTGGTTTTGCTGATTCTGATTGGGCAAATGACATCGATAGGGAATCAACTTCTGGTTATTTATTTAAATCATTTGGAAGTCTGATTTCTTGGACAACAAAGAAACAACTGTACTGAACAACTACTGAAGCAGATTACGTTTCTGCTTGCAATGCTGCTTGTGAAGGAATTTGGTTGAAAAATCTGATAACTGACATGAGAATAGACTTTAACTTTGAAATCTACATTGCACTAAATACAGATTCAATAACAGAAAATGTACCAGAAAACTATAAAGATATTGATAATTTACCACAAGATGATGCAACAAATGGGAAAATGCAGTGAGAGAAGAATTAGACTCCTTAATGGAAAATAATACCTAGACTTTGGTGGACTGTCCTGAAGAAGTGAAACCTATATCAAGCAAATGGGTGTTCAAGCAGAAGAAAAATGTAGAGAGGTACAAAGCTAGACTGGTAGCAAGAAGTTTTCAGCAGAAAGAAAACATTGAATAAGAAGAAAAGGCTCCGGTAATTATTGGTTTTGCTGATTCTGATTGGGCAAGTGACATCGATAGGGAATCGACTTCTGGTTATTTATTTGAATCATTTGGAAATCTGATTTCTTGGACAACAAAGAAAAAAATGAGTTCGTTGCTGCTTGCAATGCTG